AGAAAGCGGAATCCTTGAGTGGTTATATAACTTTCTCAATGCCACGCACAAAGCCAAAACCAGAAAGAGAGCCACTGAGGGCTAGACAGGCCTTCCGTCTGGGAAGATGGGCTAAGAGTCTCCAGAGGGAGAGGGTACAGGGCCTTGGCAGCCGGCTGGGCTCTCCTGGTTTGTATCTCGACTTGCTCTAGACTTGGCCAGAATCCCAGCTTGTCTAGGTCCAAACCCATGAAGATTCCACCACACCAGAAGCCTACCACTTGAGTAGTGAAGAATAACCTTTAAAGAAAAATAAAAGGAACATCCTTCAAAGAAAAAAAAAAAAAAAAAAAAACACCACAAGAATGTAACAAGTACTCAGGGACTCCAGAGACTCCAGCCATAAATCCCCATTTCAGAAGCAGTATTTAAAAACCAGAAATCAGGCGCCTAGGTGGCTCAGCCGGTTAAGCATCTGAGTTCGACTCAGGTCACGATCTCATGTTTCATGAGATCAAGCCCTGCATCTGCCTCTGTGCTGACAGCTCAGAGCCTGGAGCCTGCTTCAGGTTCTGTGTCTCCCTCTCTCTCTCTCTCTCTCTCTCTCTCTCTGCCCCTCCCCCCACTCAGACTCTGTCTCTCAAAAATAAGTAAACATTAAAAAAAAAGTGACAAATTCTTTTAATTGTGACTTATTAACTACAAAATGGAAAGCTAACTATATGGGTTTTGTGCTGTCATGGCAATGAACATAATATGTCTTTAAAAAAAAATCTCACAATATCTGCGGTCTCTCACAGTATCGGGGCAGTATGGTTGTGCAACTTGAATACAATGGAAAGGAATTCTCTTTGGTCAGAAAGTGTTCTTCAAGTATGTGCCAGTAATGCAACATACATTCCTAGGTACAGGGCGGGGCTCCATCAGGTTTTGGAAATGTCACTGTTTTCAGGGTAGGTATAAATTCTCTAAATTGTGTCTATGTGTTTCTAGCAGAATGACACGAGCGCCTGTGTGTTCACTTCTGTGAATTTTCGAGCCACTGTGTAAGGAAACATGTTTCAACAAGATTTGTTTGTCAGGTTTAGGTAAGTATAATGACACTCCATGTGCATAATCGCAGAAGAAGCCACTGTTAGGAATCAGACTTCCTCATCTCCTTGGTGTCTTTGTCCCTAATATTAAGCCCCTTACTTCGCAGCATTATCAGCAATTTCAATTCCTTGCCCGGGGCGCAGTCAGAGATCTCCTCACTTTACCTGATAGCCTGATCTCTGCTATGGCATTGGGCACCTGCTGACATGGTAGTTCTCGATCTTTCTCTGGCCAAATGATACTCCCATTTTATCTTTTCCACTAACTTGTGACCTCATCCAGGAAGGAGCCTTCCACTGTACAGATTCTCAATTACATACATAAGGGTTTTTGCTTAAACGTTTGCCTAACTTTAAAAAATAGCTAAGTGATAAAATAGGAAAAATATTGTTGAAACTGTGAAGTTATGAAAGATGACTAAATTATAGAACAAGTGATCTATAGATCAACATGTATGGAACAAGAAATCTCCTAGCCTACTCTGAAGCATATCCAAAGCAACTGCGAATTTAATTTTTCTTAAATTTAATTTAATTTCTTAAATTTAATTTAATTTAATTCACAACTGCGAAGTGAATTTTTTTTTCGAGAGAATATAAGATAACCGTTTATTACAAAGTCAGCAAGCCATTGAACGGTGGGGGGGGGGGGCCCCCCAATTAGAAAAGATCCATGAGAGAAACTATCAAAAACCAAATATAAGTCTACCACTCTTAAAATCTTTGACATTTTGATTTATGTTCTGCTAATAATCATGTACGCATTTGTCTGAGTATACGTGTGTTTGTGTCTAGTCCTGGGTATTGCCTCGAAACTTTATTAAAGCAAGATTTGAGGAACTTGGTGGGGTGCTTGAAGGTTTTAATAACAAGAAAGGATAAGTAACTAGCTGGAGATTGTTTATTCTCTTTGCTGTATTACACAGCTGTTATGCAAACAAACCCCAAAAATATAGAAATTAGAACACAGTATTTCCATAGCAGTTTTCATGATGGCATTGTATCATGGGAAAATTAGCAGTCATCTTGACATAACCCAGAACTGACTGGAACCAGAATGTGGCAACATGGGTTTTGACAGAGATTATTTACATATATTGGAAAAACACTTTTTCTTTCTCTGAAAACAAATACGTAAACATTAAAAAATAAATAAATAAAACGCTCTGAACAGAAAAGTAGTGAACACATACTGGGCAGACTTTGTACAAGAGGCCTGACATCTCTTTCCAATCTCGTTATAAATTTCCGAGGTATATCTCTGTGTTTGTTTATTGTATTGTTAAATTTCCTGATCTCTAAATTCAAAATAAAAATACTTCACATACTGGGAAAATCTGTCTCAAATAAGAGAGAAGGAAATGATCCATGGAAGCATAAAAGGAGGTGAGAGAAGCTACATAAAACCATGTGTATGTAAAGAACTTTGTGTTCAGACTCCCCCCCTTCAAGTCTACGCTATCTTGTGTCAATGGTATACACATCCATCCAACAGGAAAAGAAGGGAGGCTTAACTCCTGGAAGTCTCTAGAAAGGTTTGGGCATGGCTCAGGTGTTTCTTAGGGAGAGAGTTCCAAGGGCAGGCCCAACGCCTGGTAATTCCAGACAATCCAGAAGAACAATGTGTGAACTAAAAGTAATAAACATGAAATGTGGGGTCACGCTTAATACCAAGGAGGTTAACTCAGTGCACATAGTATAGGGCAGAAAAGCACATAAGAAATCACAATTAAGAAGTCATATTCCACTCTGTCCCTAACTTCTCCACATGGGGATGTGGGGAGGAGACAGGCAGAACAGCAGAACACCTGCTCTGTGTTTATAACAAACCTGCCAAGTTGACACAAAAAACAAATCTGTTGCTTCCCAGATATGCTGAAGCTGGGGTTTTTACCACCCAAAAGAGTTATGTAAAATGGGGGAAAAGGGTCTCACTGGCAGGGGAATATACCTGTCCCAATCTTTTCTCTAAACTCCCAAGGCTAATGGTATTTTCTTTGTGGAGCACAAATTTGAACACAAAACATCTGTCTGGGGTAAATTCTGTGGATCCTGATGTTAAACATAGAAAATATAATAAATACTCAATGTAGCAATCTGCTGCTGAGAGCATTGTGGTTTCTGTTTGCTTTTTAAAAATGTATTTATTAATACACCCTGATCATACACAGCAAGTTCTGGTTTGGGGAAAACACAGTTTTACTGCACTTATGGTATTTTCATTAAGAACAACAGATAAGTCTAGAAAGTGTCCTTGGTTGAAAATAACCAGATCCCCACCCCCCCCTGGAGTTCTTCAACACAGTTGGCTTAATTTACTACAAATAATAAATGGCAAATGAGTGCAAGAGATTTGAGAGCCCTAAGTAGACAAGCTCTTGCATTTTCAGCACCCATTTACCCACAGTAAATGCTTAGTACTTTTTGAAGAAGTAAGATATATAACTTGTGTGTTAGTGAAACATGAACAGAATAATAATTTGCAATATACATGATGCATGAATATATATGCCTATACATGTATAGGGGTGTGTGTGTGTGTGTGTGTGTGTGTGTGTGTAATTTGCTTTCAACATCTGAACACTCCAAGTAGGAAGAAAATAGAACATAAAACTACACAAAACTACAGTTATTAGGTAGACCAACTTTAAAGATCTTAAGATATAGGTTTTTAGAGTATATATCCTAGGACCTTTATGTAGAGAACACGGTGTGAAAATTCTGAACACAGGACATGATCTCTGAAGACTGGCTTTTTACCCTTATATATTTGCCAAGATTACTTTATGCTGTGGAATTTATTACCTCTTGAGTGTTCCAAATGCAGAAAGAGAGGAACCAGGGGAAGCACCTCTGGTTACTTTTTAATGCAAAGCCCTAGGAGACAGGATCCTTTAGGTGGAAAATCCTTGCCATCCTCCTGGTTGACTGCAACCACTGTGGCAGCTTCCCTCCTCTCCAAGCTGGTAGAAAATGCTGTTGCTTTGTCACTTTCTTCAAACGATTTAGGAAGGAATTATTTCCTCCAACCAGTTCACTGGATAAATAAACTGAGGTTCACAGAGGCCAAGTGTCTGGCCCCAGAGCTCAGGGCCACTAAAGTTTGTCCATTTAAGAACATCCAGAATGATAAGTATTTTCAGACCCTGTACTAGTCTCATTGTCTTACTCTTAAGGTAATGTTTGCAAGCATCACAGAAAACAATTGCAGATTGAGGACTGGGGGTGGGGGGTGGGGGTAGGGGGAGAGGGTAGGAAGTGGTCCTTAGCAAATCCCTGGGCCTGGGGATCACCTGCTCCCTAGGATCAAAACAGTGAAACAAGCTATTCCTAAGGACATCAAGGACGAGTGGGCCATTGTTTTCAGAGCCAGCTGTGGAGAATCAGCTGAACGGTGGCCTTGGAACAGCTGCGGCTACCGCACCACTGGGCGGGGGCGGTAGTGGGTGCAAGAGTGAGCCAGGAAGGAGCGCCGGCGGAGACCCTGCCTCGCCGCCTCTCGGCAAACCAGGAAGTCCTTTTTGCTGTGGGTGCAAAGGATGGAGCCACCTTTCGAACCGACAGTCTGAACGGCACGCAGCAGCCCCCAGACTGGCTTAGTAACTGCAAACCCTCGGCGGGCAGGGTGCCCGGGAGGCCGCGGACCGGCAGCTACGCGGTCAGGGGCTGCAGCACGGAGTCGGCGCTATCACAGAGTACACAGAGCAAAGCAGGCTCTGCCGTCTTAGCAAACCCTGGCCGAGCAAAGTCCGGGGTAAACAAGCCTCCAGACGCGCGCCCCCCGCGCGCTCCTCTGCCCCCCGGATTGCCCAGGCGCCCTGCACTCAGCTCTGCGGCGTCCGCCGCCCTCTCCCCGCGCCCCCCCTCCTCCGATCGCCCCACCTTCCGGCGGGGCCCTCATTCCCACAGCTGGCGCGCCGCACTCACCATCTCTCGCCTGAGGAAGTGCAGCTTGGTTTCCAGCCTCTCCAGGGCGCTGCAGTGGCTACGACGTGGGGAGCCAGAGGTTGGAGAGGACGAGGAGGACGACGACAGGGAGGGGGGGAGGCTGCAGCTGCTGCTGCTGCTGCTACTGCAGCCGCCGCCGCCGCCGCCGCTCCCCCCGCAGGGGTCCCTGTCCCTTTCCAGGGGAACCGGCTCCTCCCCACGGAGCGAGCGCACTAGGCTCTCGGGTACTTTGCGCCCTAGCTTCAGCTCGATGTCTCTGAGGTCTGGCAGCGGGCCGTCTTCCATGACTTTTCAAGAACGAGGATAATGGTAATGAAACGCAGCGGAGGAGAGGCGGCCGCGGCTTCCGAGGCTGCGGCGAAATGAACCGACCCCTCCCGGCGCCCGGGTCTCTATCCTCGGCGGCGGATGGAGTGCACCGTCCGCTCCATAACCGCTTGCGCTGTTACCAACCCTGAAATCCGCACAGGACGAGGCGGGTCGCAGCCGCAGTTTCCCGGGTGCTGTGGCTCCCCCGACACTTACTAAGATTTTAGAGATCGCTTCATCCTCTTCCCTTTTGGCCACCCCACTGCAAAGTTGAGTCAATTGATATTGCAGAGAGGAGAAAATCCGAGTATTATAAACCCAAAGAAGTGAGAGGGAAAACGAAGTCTGGTTTTTGGCGTTATGGGGGGAAAATTCACATGATAAAACTGTCCGTTCACATCTCTGCCTCATTCACTGATTGCCCATCTGGTACCACGCGACACAAAGTAAGATGTGGCCACACTCCGGGGTCGTTTCGTTTTCCAGCCATATGTCTCCGAGCTTTCGGAATATCCTGGATTGGCAGAAATAATCCCTGGTCAGTGAAAGAGGAGGTCGGTCGTGTGCATGGCCGCGTGAAAGAGGTGGTTAGTTTAGCGGGAGTTTAACGGCTTTCTCCTTGCAGCAGAAATTCCCTTCTTCTCATTTAGGCAGTTTGGTCCCAGTCATTGTGTTCTTCTGAGCCTTTGGAAACTTTAAACTCCGCTGGCAGGTGGACCAAACCACGGCCAACCCTTGTACCGTATATCCCAGGCAAGAAGAGCAATAGAAATGTTCCCAGCCCTGCTGTTAGTAGGAGTTTCAGCGAACTGCTTTAGGTCCAAGTACCTCATAGGGGTGTTAGGTCGCCTGGTAGCCAGAACCTTTAAAACAGTTAACAGAGGTCGGAGGGAGAAGAATGAGTTGAAATGCACCATCCTTCCCCGCCCCCGATCTTCCCATACAGCAAAAGTCTACCTTTAGAAAGAAGCCTTTTCTACTTGTACGCTAGTAAAAAGTGAAACTGTTTCACCATAAGTTCAGTGAGAATGCCCGGCCAAAGTGAATTACCTTACCAAATGTTACAGTATTTCACTGCCGGAAGTGAAGATTTACGTAGCCAGAATAATTTAGATGAGTGCGGAGGTAGGGGTGGATTTTAAAAGGCTGAAGTTGCTGAGACACTTTTAATCGGGGAGAAAAAAAGTACTGAACAGAGCTAGTGAAACGTTGTGTTTGATAATTTAGCTATATTTTTCAACTACTCAGAAGATACCCAAAGCGTATAATCTAAGATACTACCCAGTAAATTGCCATGGGCCACGTGGATTATAGGTTGGACTCAATATCGAGTTTGTGTGAATGATCTTCAATTAGAGGATACTCTTTCCAATTCAGTAGGCTGATTTGGGGGTTCCTTTGGAATATTTGAAAATATGGGCTCCTCTATTTGGGGGGACAAATAATTACTTGTGTTCTTGGTCCTTCGTGGGCTCCATTCCCAAACATCGCTCGGGTTTTATACTTGGCACGAAGGCAGATCCCATCTCAGAGTTTGTTCTTTTGTAGAGCCTCATCTAGGAGTGATAAGGATAGACAACACAGGCTTTCAGAATGAAATATTTCACGCCACGGAGAAAATTGCTAAAGTTCTCTTATCAGCATGCCAGAAATTGGTGTGTTAGTTCTCACTCTTAAAAATGAATGAAGAAAACAGTTGTAAATTTAGTGGCCCCTTTTAAAGTTGGAACAACCATTCACGGAATCAAAGGAGAACAATGCTAAATCTCAACTCACTGATAAAGCAACGTGCTTTGCCCTGAATTTGGAAAACCACAAACTCATCAGATAAGAACCGCACTGGGATGGACATACAATCCAGGAAGGTTTGCACTTCCCTCAAGAGCAGTTTGTGCCTTGTTGTTGCTGTTGTTGTTGTTTTCAAACCCTCACAAAGTTCAGCACAGGGTGGGCCCAGAGGAATAGCTTTACAAACGCAATAGTTTAGCTTGTACTTGGTCAATAAAAAAGTGTATTGTCAAATTATCAGTGTAACTGTACAAAAAACAACACCTCCTTTGCTGTGAGTTACGGACAGTAAAACTGGTATTTGATACTGAGGTTGATAACTCAGAAATAGAAAACTTGTGTGTATGTATGTATGTATGTATGTATGTTTTCATTTTGAATGTCTGCAGAGAAACCTTCTCTGAAAGTAAAAATAAGCCCTGTATGTGTCCGGCTTCAGCTTGTATGACTTCTTTAGATAGAAGATAACTTAGCATGCCCTTAAGGATCTGGGTAGTCAGCTTTTTGTTCTCAGTAGCTGTACCACCGGAGGGTGGGAGAAGAAATGAAAACACTAATTTGGAACGTTACTGTCAGATACTGGAGGAAACTAGAATTGAAAGTTTGGTAAGGTCTGATAAAATCTGAAAGACGGTAGGTCCAGTTTACAGCTAGATGAAAACCCTCCAAGGCAAAGAAGGCCCAGAGTCTGATAACTCACAAAGGCATGCTATACTTTTCTTGTAATTTATGAAACATAAATGTTTCCTATAGTTTACGAAACGTGAAATGTCTCTCTATAGTCACCCTCCTTTTTGGTTCTTGTTTACAAAATAAATCTGGCCTCGTTAAGAAAAAAACCTGTATGTAAAGTGATACTTTGTGCTAGTGGAATATACAACAAAGGTAAAAATTTTAAGAAAAGCTTAGTTATGTTGAGCCTTTCCAGCTTTCTCAGTTTAATGGTTTATAACATTTTAGTTTAAAATAGAGACATTCTGGGGGCGCCTAGGTGGCTCAGTCTGTTAAGCTTCAGACTCTTGATTTCCACTCCGGTCATGAATTCACCCTTTGTGAGTTTGAGCCCTGTGCCCCCAGGCTCTGCACTGACAGCGTGGAACCTGCTTGGGATTCTCTGTCTCCCTCTCTCTCTGCCCCCCCACCCCCTCATCCCCCAAGCGAGTACGTGCACTCCCTCCCCAAAACAAATAAATACTTTAAAAAGTAAAAAAAATAAAATAAAATAGACACATTCTGAATGCCAAAATGCTGATTTTCAAAACATATTAGAATCCCAGGACCCTTACTAGGCTTCTTACAGGTTGTGTTAACTTTTATGTGGTCTGGTATGAGGACATTCCTTACCCAAAAAGTTCAAAAAAAAAAAAGGTCTTTAAAAACAAAACAAAACAAAACATACAAACAAAACCTTTGGGTCTTGAGAATGTTTTTTGTTTGCAAGATTCTCCTATCATTAAAAAAAAAAAAAAAGCATGAGACATTGAACCACTTGCTAACCTTGTATGTGAGCCCCGTGGATTCATTGCACATCTTGATCTGGGGAATCAGCTGTTGAGAACTGGCAGTGGTGGGTCTAAGATGGGAATCTGGGCTGGGAGTGAGGTCATCACGAATAAGAGGAAGAACAGAGAGAAACGGGGAGGGGGAACCTCTCTGGATAACCTTTTCCTATTTCCCCAGCTGTCACTCATAACAGCATACCCTCTCTGCTCTTTCCTGTCCATCTCCAACCAGCGCCTGGTTCCCTGAGCCTGATCTACTGAAAAGTAAAATTATAAAAATAGTTCTCATCCTATTTGTGATCTAACTTTTTAGATTTTCATGCTTCTTTTTCTGCCTGCCGTAAATGTGACCTGGATTGGCCTTTTTCTTTTTCTCTTTTTCTATTTAGAATGCCTAGGAAATCTGAGAATGAGGATTAAACTATGGAGGAGAAGAAGAGACTTTCCTTCCTAGTTGGATTGTGCTCATTGAAAAGGAAAGGGAGCCTCTTGTTCGTCATTGCAAACAGAACAAAACAAAGCCAACCAAAACAAAAGGAAACTTAGTGGTTAATTAAATAGGAACAGTGTTGGACCCAGATGACAGGTTCTCAAAGAATGCCTCAGTCACAGAAGCAGAGTGATGTGATGCACACTGAGAAGGCTTCCTGGTAGGGGACGCACTACTTTCAGCCCAAGTAGACTCAGCCAGCCCTTGCGTGGCGTGAGTAATGCCACTCCTTAATCTGCTGCTGGCATTGTGGTTAAAAGAAAAAAAAAAAAAAAAGGCCTCTCACCTTCTCTCTGGCACTGATTGAAAGTTTGCAGCTTTCCCAACTCTTGCTGGCAGAGAGTTCAAGCGCTGGGGCACACTCTCTAACCTGAGACTCCACTTCCCACAGTGCAGGATAATAGCTCCAGCTAACAGCCTCAAATTACGCTTAAGAATTTTAGGAAGTAGCTATTTCATGGGTAACAGATTCTTTGAATTTCTGCGTTAAATGTGGAGAGCTGCTGTTCCTATAAATGTTTTTGTTCGGCCGATGAACTGCTTAACAAGGAAGATGTCATCGCGAAACTAAAGAATGTTGAGCCTATACACACACAGTGGAATTAGATATCTGGTAAAGCTATGAGGACTTTACCCTGCCTGTTTATGGCCATTTAATTCACCTATAATTTTGTATCTGGGTTGGGTCTGTTTTACTAAGTAGAATCATCTAGTTTATTAGCACCCTGAGCAGCTTACACATCTTATGCCGTGTATATTGCCCTATCTACCTATCTGTCTATTTATCTGCCTATCTAAAATGTCTCTCCCTCAGGAGCACAGATCCTTTAAATAGTACTCTGATTGGAATCTAATTAATATTTATAATCACAGCGAAACACTTCCCTGGAGATTTAGGAGACAATACTAAAAGTAGGTCACCAGCATCTAAGTCTGCCTTATCCCCTCTCGACAATCCCTGTCAAATCTCTCTGCCTTCATTATTTGTAATGGAGCCCTTTATTTGCTTTTACTTCCTTTCCATGCTTTTCTGAATTCCTACCGAAAGGTGCCAAGCAGGGCCCAGAAGAGTGATCTCTTCGGTGAAGCGAGCCTTGGTCAGTTCCTCCGTAGCCATCCAGGTTGGCTTCTAGAGTGGACTTGTGGGTTGTTTCAAAGGCGTGCTGGTAAATGTTTCTACCTAGCTCTCTGAAAATGTAAAAATAACCGATTTGTAGCTT